GTAAATTTTGGTCAATGACATGAGACAAAGTATATGTGAACTGCTGTATGAAAAGTGAATTTACTCTGTAAATCTTCACCCAAATCCTAATAAAAAAAATAAATAAATAAGGACACAGGATATGTTTTTTAAAAGGTCAATTGTAATATATGGAAATATTCCACTCACCATCATTTTATTAAGGTTAAAGCTGCCTTCATAGTATAATCCAAACTGAGTAACTACCACGCCGTTCCCTTGACATACATCATCTTGCCACATTCCCATATACTTTTCACCCCTGCATGGAAATTTTGAAGAAAAAAGAAAACGATGGCAAGGATAAAGTGGAGGGAAAGCTGTCACGTGGGCGATGCCAACCAACCCTGCTAGCGTGGTGTCTGTTAACTTTGTTTCCTCAAACATGGGACAAAGTGATAGTAAAAGACTTATTTACTCAGAGTAATGTCTTCTAGTATGCTCCATGTACTTCTTTGATAACTTTAAAAAATTGAAAAGAAGCAAGAATGTCAAGAATTCAACTCTTAATTAATTTCACTCAAAATGTGAAAGGCAGAATCAAATCTATGCACAATTTTCTCTTATCTAAAAATTTCCTAACTTAAAAAAGAGAAATGGGGTTTACCATAAACATGGCTCACTTTTCACATATTCAAATGCAGAAAAAAATCCATTACAAAGATAAAAATAATAGTACAACTTGCCTGTTACATAATCATCAAGTTTAGTGATAACATGAAAATCTTTAAATTTCATATTATGGAAACAGTAGTAAATCACATAAAAAGGGAGTGTGTTGATACATTACATGAGTACAGAGCAAATTAGACCAAATATGGGGGCAAAAGAACCACACTCCTGTCCAAAGTTGAGTTAATTGAATTTAACTAAGCTTGATTACTGGCCTTCTGGTATGGTAAGAAGTCTCTAGTCTATGAGGGAAACCAAGCAGAAAGGTGTTTAGACGCCGTTCTACAAAAGGACGAACCTCTATCAGTTTCCCCGTCTTCACCCCCACTTTCTGTTGACTGCCTTAAAGGCTTTTCTTTGTGGAACAAACATCTGGTAGCTGTTCTGAGGCGCTACGAAGCCTTTGGGAAGCTTTAAGGAAAATGCTATCAGTGCTAATTATGAATGATCCTGATCTTATAAAGAAGTAACCTATTGTTTGGGCCACAGAAAATGGATAAAATGATACTTGTTAGGCAGGAGCACGGCTGGCCAGGTGGGTGAATGGTTAAGCTGGAGGGAATTATAAGAACTGGTCAAAGCAAGGAAGCGCCTGACCAGAGCCCATATCAAACCCCAGCATGTAACCCTTACTTACGAAAGACCCCAGCACCTGACTCTTCCTCACGAAAGCCCCCAACCATTTCCTGCCCACTATGCTAATGAAGTGCTTCAGCTCTACTTCCTGACCCCATGCTAATAGGGTGCTTTAACCTTATTAGTTCCTATAACACATACCCTGCTCTCAATCCAGTCCACTGAGGAACAGGAAAAGTAACACCATAAAAACCCTTTTCTTTCACCTGGGCGGTGCGACTTCTCAGGCCCCTCTCAGGGACCCGTGAACCTCGTCCAGGGGTGCAGAATAAACCTTTCCTTGCTCTACCTTCTGTGTCCCTTCCCTTCCTTATCATGACCTTATAATACTGAAACCCTGTTTTCTTATTAAAGAATTTTTAATACTGTCAAGATACTCAGCCTTTATAAAATTAACACTGTTTTTGGAAAAGTATAGGAGGAACCTTATTCTCACATTAAACTTTGAGATTAGAAACAGAATACTGTACCTAGTGATATCATCAAAGACACCATATCCTGCTTTCTTATCCATTACCCACTGGCCAATGAACATACTGGGAGAAGAGGAAGTCAACTTTCCACTTCGTAGGAGCCCATGACCATGACGCATGTTATCTTGAAAACAGCCTTCAAACACTTCACCAGAGGCATAACTGTGGATAGAAAGATTGGGTAAAGACCACAAGTACACTGAACTTTTATTTTCATTGCTACAAAATTTAGGAAATCCAAAACTATACTCAAGTTTCACTGCTAGTTGTAATTATTTGTTACATGATTATTTTTCACTAATCAAAAATCCCATTTTTTTTTTTTTTTAAATGATGGAGGCTAAGAAGTCAAAGACATGGGTAGTAGTTTGCAATGATACAGAAAAAAAATTGTGTGCTGACTCCCTTATGGGGAAAAGAAATACCAAGTATCTCTGAGAGGGGAGAATGATGAGTGCTATCCATATTAGGAGCTCTGGTAGCATAGTGCCTAAGGCACTTGACTGCTCACCAGAAGGCTGGCGGTTCAAACCCACCAGCCACTCCTCGGAAGGAAGGTTGGGCAATCCTACTTCCGTAGTGATACTGCCTCGGAAACCCAAGGAGGGGTCGCTATGAGTCAGGGCCGACTCGATGGCAAACAACAACAACAACAACAATCCATATTAAAGTTAAGTGATAAAAGTAAAATAAATGTATAGGCAAGACATTTAGGAGACTGAGAAAGTTATGTTTTATAAGGCTTGTACAATTTAGGTAAGAACTAAATATATGTTTTCAGTTTATGATAGGTGAGAGGTTGATTTTTAAAAGACTTTACACAGTTTTAATCATCTGAAGAGTAAAAAAGCCTATTCCTTGGCAATTCTGGCTATACAGACATTTAGGTATACATTAAGGTCTCAGAAAAAGCAACAGCGGTCCAACAACTCTTCCAATGTTATCACCTATAGATTCCTTGACCACACATTTTTCCTTCTTTCCAGTGGCCGACATAATGGTCTTCTTTGTTCAATGCCTTGTTGGGGATTCTGTATTCTCCATACCTGCCAAGGAGGAAAAAAAAATGTATTTATGACGTATTTTATCAGTATACATTTCAACAGGGAGGACACAGAAAAGATGTGCCTATAGGAGGAAAGGGGAAACAGGATCTTGGTTTAAACTAAGTTGTTTGGCTAATCTTAGAGGAGTGGAATGTCAGCCTCACTACACAGAGAGAGAGGTGTTTTTATGCCAAGTTCAACGAAAAACAGAAGATCTACATCCTGGGCTTATCTCTGCTGCTAATTAGATGTGTCGCTTTAGGCCAATCCAGAGATTCGGCTCCCCTCCATCTATAAAGTGAGGGTGGTAAATCAGATTACCTAAAGACCCTTCTCATTTTAAAAAAGCTACTAAAAAAGATTTAAAGGCATCATGAAAGTTTAGATTACCACACACAAAAAAATCACCTACTCAATTTACATAATCATCTCTTTTACATAGTAAAATAAATTACTTCTCGGGCATGACATAAAATACTTCACTGACATGAATTTATCATGTAAATATATTTACTGTGCTAAAAAAGATGTCAAGCTTACACAAAATGTCATTAGAATATCATTGTTGTTGTTGTTGTTGTTATGTGCCGTCGAGTCAAACCCGACTCATAGCGACCCCTCCTTGGGTTTCCAAGGCAGTATCACTACTGAAGTAGGATTGCCCAACCTTCCTTCCGAGGAGTGGCTGGTGGGTTTGAACCAACAGCCGTCTGGTTAGCAGGCAAGAATATCATTAGGATAATGTATCACTTGGAAGATTTCCCCTTTAATGTATCACAGACATTCAAGATGATTTAAATCTAATGAACAGAAAACTATGTCCCTTTGTGGAAAGGGGGAAGGCACTACTACTGTCTTAATAGTCTCATCAATATTACCCAAAGTTCTCAATCTTTACAGCTGAGAAATGGACCAAAAACACAGTTCCATTTTAACAGATGGAAGGCTGTGTGACACACACAGCTATCAAGGTAACCACTCGCTCCAGGTAAACCAGAGGTGGCAGTCTAGACTCCCAGCTCTCTTCATGCTCACTCATCTGCATTAGGAGGCCTAACACACTGCATCATCTCTAAACATGAAACAAAGATCTACTATGTTTGGAAAGTGACTCTGGACACAAAATATCATTTGTGGCTGAACTTGGAATTACAGTCTCTTGTTTTACACAATTTCCTTACCCATCTTCTAATCCATTCCTGAACATGCCGGAATACATCTTCCCATCAGGCCACTTCAAAATCCCTCTGAAACGCATAAGCAAAGAATGATAATGTCAACTGATGTCTTAGACAACCAATACTTTTTCAGTAATTAGTCAATCATCCTCATCCCAGGCATAAATCTTAGACATTTTCACCTGCCATGGGGCTTCCCTGAAAGCCAGCGTCCATTATAGGTTGCATCCTTTAGGCGAGGATCCTTGTAGAAAGTATATTTGGCACTGCGTGAAATGGGTGGTTCCTGCCTCTGAATGCTGCTGCCACTTCCGTAAGGTGGAAGATCAGATATTCCCCTCAAAGCCTGATCCACAGCTTGGCTTATGGCCCGTAGCCACTTAGTCTAGGAGCAAAATAGTAAATGTCAATAAGCTTAAGGCAACAACTTATCAAGCACTGGTTTAAATCCTCTTAGCTTTCCTTGGTGTAAGTAATTTTTCTGTCTCCTAATGTTCTTTCTACCACAAGGCTGGTGGTTCAAACCCACCTGCCACTCCTCAGAAGGAAGGTTGGGCAATCTATTTCCGTAGTGATACTGCCTCGGAAACTGAAGGAGGGGTCACTATGAGTCGGGGCTGACTTGACGGCACATAACAACATTCTTCCTATTAATTAATACTGGTGGTTCTCAGAATCCGTTACTATTTGTTTAAATTGATTAAATAACATTTAAAAAATTCTATCACTCATTCTAAACTGACTGCCATTGAGTTGGATCTGACTCACAGTGACCCCTCCTTGGGTTTCCAAGGCAGTATCTCTATGGAAGTAGATTGCCCAATCTGCCTTCTGAGGAGAGGCTGGAGGGTTTGAACCGTCAGCCTTCTGGTTAGCAGTCAAATGCCTTAGGCACTACACCACCAGAGCTCTCCCCAACCCCCCCAAAAAAATGCTATAGTCTTGGTTTAATGAAGATCTGTTAGATGTAACTGTGGATCACTGATCAAATAAAAACTTTCTATTTCTTCTTTACTACCACAGAGACAGAAATAGCCCAAAGACTGGAAGAAAATACAATAATGACTAACCTTTTCCTGGGGTGTTGATGCAAGAAGAGTGAACTGCTCCTCAGGTGTAGTTATCTTTAAGCCATTCCTAAAATGTTCACAAGGATAAGTATCAGTAGATACAACAATCTGTCATTACAATAGCAGTCTTCAAATACGAAAAGCAATCTGCTTATTTCAAGAGAAGGAGAATTCAATGAAATATAAATAAATGCATGCTCTGGGTTTTGTTCCCACAGTGACAGAAAAGACACAGGGTTACTCTGCTTCTGAGGATGAGGATGTGAGCAACGGAGATGCCCTTCCACTCCCTACATGAGGCCCACAGGGATAAGAGAGGGTATCCTGTTATCTTCACAACCACCACTATGTGTTGGAAGATGAGCCTCAGTGCAGAGAGCTTTGCTTCTGGTCTAAGCAAACAACCTGGGTAACAGAAGGAGAGACTAGCAGTAGGGGTGGAGGACAGGCGTAGACAAGGTACTTACACACCACCAGCTTCTTCAGAAAGTGGCTCCACCCATAATGTGGCCAAAGGGAAAACATGGTGAGTAGAGAACTGAAAGAGAACATGGAAAACTATTGAGAAAGTCCATGAAGTCCCCAGGGTCCCAGTCCACATCCCCTTCACATTAACTCATGTGGGCCCTGCAGTCTCTGCTGCATAAATGCCCTCAAATGGCTAAATCCTTGTGGGTGCCACCATCTCTGACACACAGTCCCTGTAACATGGCTATCCTTGATGGGCTTGGCCATCTCTGCTCCAAGGATCCCTTCACATGACTGACACACATTCTTAGGATGGAACAAAAAGAGCTCCCTGAAATCTGACCTGTATTATAAATACAAGCTGTAGCTAAACATTCTCTTTCATTTGATAGTATAAGAGAAATCATGATTTTTTTAATATATAAATTAATGGTATAATTAACTAAACAGGCCCAGTACTCCTCCGTTCAATGCCTCTTTGTATATATATATATATATATATATATATATATATATATACACACACACACACACACACATATATATATATATATATATATATACATATATATATACACACACACACAATTTTGTGTGTGAAAATACACACAGCAAAGGATGTACCTCTAATGCATAATCTGGCAGCACTGCTTACATTCTTCAGTCATGTAGCCATTCTCCTTGTCTTAGTTACCTATTGCTGCTATAACAAAAGTTAAAGCCACAGTGGGTGGCTTTAAGAAACAGAACCTTATTTTTCTCAGTTTTGGAGACTCGAAGTCTGAGTTCAGGGTGCCAGCTCCAGGGAAAGCTCTCCCTGTCAGCTGTGGAAGAAGGTCCTTGTCTCTTTGAGCTTCTGTTACCAGGGGATCTTCATGGGGCTTGGCATCTCTCTCCCCCATCTCTCCTTCTCTGATGCCTGTTTAATCTCTTTTATATCTCAGAGGAGACTGACTCAAGGTACATCTTATACTAATCCTATCTCATTACCACAGCAAAGACAACCCACCCCCAAATGGCATTACAACCACAGGCAGAGAGGTTAGGATTTATAACACATAGTATAACACACTTCAGTCCTTAGCACTGTCCCTCTCCAGATTCTTCTACCACCAACATATAGTCACTGCCATCCAAGCTTCTCATCTAAACTTCTGAGATGATGCTGTCAATTTATTCCCACATAAGTAAATCTTAGAGCACAATGCTCAAAGAAGCATACTTTAAGCTTAACTACTGCTGGTTCAAAGCAGACTTCCAGGAAAAGTTTTGATTTAAGGTTTAAAGATTAACTCAGGATACTAATTTCAGGTATTCATCCAGCCTCAATGGCTCCAGAAGACCAGGATCTCTTTTAAGGTTAGAAACCCAACCTACCTGGGCATGGACCAAAGCATCATTAAAGAGAATGAACCAATTCACAGAAAATCTCCCAGCATGCTGCAGAGATAAGGCTCGGTTACTGCTCTCACACAGCAGTCGACGCTCTGGCTTCCTTAAGGAATCCTAGAATGAAAAGAAAACACGAAGACAAATAATTGAAACTATTCTAACAGGCAAAGAGAAAATGAAAAAAGATGTAAGTCACAATTAGGGGAATTTATCGGTTATAGCTTAGTTTGGTGTTAAGCCTAAAGTAGATGGAACCCAAACACTTCATAAAATAAGAGATCAGAGGAGATTAAAAAGACAGGAACACTCTGAAGTCATCTTAAAACTGAACAATAGTCTAGCTAGTAAATATGGCCTGCCTTGAGCAATATGCTCTTTTAAGAACTATCTTGAAAGATTTAGATAGGAACAATTCAGAAAAGGAAGGTGAGAATAGTTGCACAACTCAAAGAATGTAATCAGTGTCACTAAATTGTATATGTAGAAACGGTTTAATTGATGGATATTTTGCTGTGTATATTCTCAACAACAAAATAAAAACTTGAAAAAAAAAACCATTTCATGAACAATTTATATAGCCTTGGAAAACCAATGGGGGGTAGCTATGAGTTGGCATCAACTCGATGGCAGTGGGCTTGGTTGGGTTTCTCATGAAACATTAGAATGGAAAAAAGCAAAATTCTAAATAAATACATCCTTTTATATTTTTTAAAAAAGAAGAAGATAGGAACAAACTAATAAAGATGAGTCTTCAGAGAGGATTCCTAGAAATGAGGAAAGGTGCTGATATTTGAGCCACCATTGCTATGGTCTTTGGGCATTTTAGAAATGGGGTCATTAAAGCATTATTGCCATGAACAGTGAGGAACACAGAAAATAACAGCAGTTGTTATGGAAATGCCTGCTATTTGCTGGAGTGATGACAACTGGCATGGCTTACCGTCATTTTTCCAGGAAAGGTCTTCCAGAAGCCCAGCGTGTATTCCGCCTCCTTCCTTTTCCTGCCGAGATGGAGAGCAAGAGACTCATAACAAGAACTGGAATCCTGCAGCTTCTGGTATTCTGGAGAAGTCTAAAGGCCAATAATTAAGGGAAAAATAAAAAATAAAAATATGAAACAATTGTCCAGAATCAGTAGTGTCAAAGTGATTCAGATATGTGTTGTACCCACCAGCCACTCCTCGGAAGGAAGGTTGGGCAATCCTACTTCTGTAGTGATACTGCCTCGGAGACCCAAGGAGGGGTCACTATGAGTCAGGCCGACTCGACGGCAAACAACAACAACAACAACAACAACAACAAGCTTAGGGAGAAAATTCTGCTTAAAAATAGATGTGATACATGAAAGGGAGGTGGGTAAAGACTGGTTTCAGAAAAATTCTACTATACACAGATACTTATGAAATAGGGGAATAACTCAACGAGGAAAGAAACAAACACAAATAGTTATCAGTGAGGAGAAAAGCAAAGAACTCGGGACAGAAGCTCACAAATGTTTTGGTCTCAGAACCCCTTTGTTTTGCTTACGGAAGTTATATGTATTACCGTTTACCATACTAGAAAATAAAATTAATAATTCTTGATTAATTTATTTCAAGATGAAATAATGTTTTAAGTGAAAAATGGCTATTTTCTAAAACAAAGAAAAAACTAGTAATGAAACTGGCATTGTTTCACAGTTTTGCACATCTCTTTTACATGGCTTAAAAGGTGACAGCAGATTTTTGTATTTGCTTTTGCGTTTAATCAGTTGTTTTTTGGTTAGAATATGTATCATAAGATATATAGTTGGAAAAGGGAGGAGCATTTTAATAGCTATTTTAAATGTAGAAAACTTCCTTTGATGATATACCACAACTTACATTGTAGTTTCTTACGGGTAGCTGCAATGTTGAGTCTGAAACCCTACCAATGAACTTTTCATACTGTGTTACAATGAAATCCATTAGTTACCATGCATTTTGTCTTAAAGTCAATTTGATCAGAAATTAATATTGCCACTCCTGCTCTCTTACAGTTGCCATTTGCTTGATACATCTTTTACCAGCCTTTGATTTTTTAGTCTGTTTTTGTCACTATCTCTAAGGTGTGTCTCTTGTAGGCAGCATATTGATGGGTTTTGTTTTCTCATCCAATCTGCAACTCTCCATCTCTTGAGTGGTGCATTTAAGCCATTAACATTCAGGGTAATTATTGATAAGTTTGAATTTGTTGCTGTCATTTTGTTATGTGTTTTTTCATGGTGTCCCTGGTTTCTTTGTTCCATATTATTTTCTGTGCTGAGCTCGTTATGTTTATGAATCACGTTATCATTTCCTTTGTTGCTGTTGTTTTAGTTAGTATATGCTGAATATTTGTGCTTGTCCTCTTTTTTATTGTGATGTGAAGGTTTATTATTTTTCTTTGAGGTTACTCTATGATTTATAATTCTATCCCCAGGTCTAGAACAGTCCATTTTAACTTTCAACTTTCTTAACTTCCTCACCATTTAGAAATTCTGTGACTACACAGTCTTTTTCCTCGTTTTGTTTGTAGTTGTCCTCACTTGCCAATTGATGTCTCTGGTTCCCTGTTTACAATCTTGTAAGCTCATTTTACTTTGGATATGTCCATAGCTGTGGTTTCTGGGTTATGTTATCTTGTGTATTAATGGTCGGTTGTTATTTGCTATTTTTGGTTCTCTGATCAAAGGACTCCCTTTAGCATGTCTTGTAAGGTTGGTCTGGTTTTAACAAATTCCCTTAGTTTCTGCTTATCTGGAAATCTCCTAATTTCACCAACATATTTGAGGGACAATTTTGCCGGGTATATAATTCTTGGTTGAAAATTTTTCTCTTTCAGGGTTTTATATATACCATCCCATTGCCTTCTGGCTTGCATAGTTACCATGCATTTTGAATAGATCTTTTACCCATGCATGATTCTGTAACACCATGTATTGGTCATTTGGAAAATATTGCTTCCCTGAGTTACATGGGTCTTCCAATTGCTCACACATTATACAGTATTAGAACCAATCTTACTAGAAAAAGTTTTTTAAGTATTGGAAAGATGTCAGGCTTACAATGGTAGATATGTTTTCCAAAATCCTTATTTTTGTTTGATAGCTCAGATTCTATCATTGGCAATAAATACTATTAGTTGTTTTCGTTGAAGTGACAGACTAATTTATTCATTTTTGAGAAAATTTCTGCCAAATGCCCAAATCAGAATAACCACAGTTAACCTGCTCATGTTTTCTGGGGGAAAAAAAAAAAAAAAAAAAAGCAGCTAGTTCAGCTCTCAAACAATTAAACAACTACATTGTTTTCCCTTGAGATAACCACCATACTTTGTATGCAGCACAACTGCTTTACACGTATGTCCCATTTTATCACAGGAAATAGTAAAAAGATGTGTACTTGATGGCTGAGATTAAATAAAATCAAAATTTTTACTGCTTAATCAAGAACATTTTTAATGCATTTTATTGAAATATAATTTATGTATAGTGAAATACATAAAACTAAAGTGGCATGAGTCAATTTTTTTTTGCAGTATCCCCCTCCCATAACCAACAAAGAAAGTTTCCTTCCATAAATAAACCTTTCCTTGACTTTTTACAATAATGAATTTATACTGTATTTGTCCTCCAAGTTCATCCACATTATGCAGTGTTTTGTAGGTTCTACATTATTCTTTAGTGTTGCATAGTATTCCACTGTGTGTATGTACCATAGTTTGGTTACCCATTCTTCTGTTGATGGGCACCTAGGTTGTTTCCATCTTCTTGAATGCATATATTCTCATCTTTCAACATACCAGGAAAATTCTCTTCCAACAAATCTTCGACAATTTTCTCTGTGGTTTTATTTGTCTCCTCCTGTTCTGGAATGCCAATTACATGTAAGTTATTCTTTTTGATGGTATCCCACATGAACCTTAGGCTTTCCTCATTTTATTTTGATCTTGTTTCTGACTGATTCCTTTCCAAAGTACTTAAGAATTTGCCTTCAATCTCCCTAATTCTGTCTTCCATTGATTCAATTCTACTCCTTTGCCTATTCAATGTGTTATCTATTTCTGAAAATTCAGTATTAATCTTCTGGACTTCTGTCTGTAGATTGTGTATCATTTCTAATTTTTCATTTATTTTGTCATTCTGTTCTTACATTGTCTTTTGAAATTGATCTAGGGTTTTCTCTGTGTTTTCCTCAATTTTGTCAGTGTTTTCCTTGCTCTCTCAATTCATTGAAGGTACCTAAATATAATTCCTTTGAATTCCTCATCAGGGAGTTCCAGTGCTGGATCTTCCTCGGGGATGTGTTTTGCATCTGTATCCTGGTCCCTTGTTTCTCCTGCTTTATCTTGCTTCTTTGTGTGGACTGTGGTGGTCTGTTGTCTCTGAGGCATTGTGTTGTTTTTGTGTTTATATTTAATTGGTGATTGCATGTTGGAGTGACTTGCCCACGATTTTTGTTTTCTTTCGATGTTATCTATGTAAGCAGGGTACTGTGCTGTGCTCCTCTATTCGCTAGTTGGCAGCACTTACACACTCACCATCTGTCTCCTTTCCCACTGTCAGCATCCCATATGTCCCTGCCGACCTTTGCAAATGGAGCCTCTTCTTAGGTTCTGTTTTCATTCAGATTTTTGCACTAGCTGGTACCAAATCCACTTCTGCATACTTCCTTTCAAAGCTCAGGACTTCAGAATTATCTTCTGTATCTCTGTCAATTGGTTTCTATTTTCTTTGTTGAAGAGGATCTGTGTAGCTTGTCTGCTTAGTCTGCCATCTTACCGGAAGTCCTTCAAAACGAACACTCTTAAGTGAAACTGGGATTTCTGTTTTGTTTTTTAACTGCAAATGTATGGTGGTTGAGAATGTAATGATTACTGGTAGTTTGGTACTATACCTAGGTTGCTGCAAAGGCGCCTGTAGTTTTACCCACCTTTGGTTTCACACCATCAGTGCAAATGTCAACACAGTGAAAAAGGCAAATAATGTTTCAGTATTGCCATAAAGGGAGCTCTGGTGGCCTAGTGCCTAAGACATCTGACTGCTAACCAGAAGGCTGGTGGTTCAAACCCACCAGCCACTCCCTGGAAGGAGACCGGGCAATCTACTTTCACAGTGATACAACCTCAGAAACCCAAAAAGGGGTCGCCATGAGTTGGATCCAACTCAAGTGCAGTGAGTTAAGAGTTTTTATTGTCATAAAAAACAGTTTTGACCTTGGTAAGCCCCTGAAAGGGTCTCTGGAATCCCTAGGTCTGGTGGACCATGCTTTGAGAAGCGCCTGCTGGGAGAGGATATAACTGCTGTGCCATGTGGAGAGTGAGCACAAAAAGTAAGATGAAAGGGTGATCTCATGTATCAGTAGTTCCATTTCACAATTCTTAGAGTAATTCACTTCCATTTTCCCAGTCATTTAAGATGCATTTAACGAGTGTTTACTACATACTCAGAATATTTTTCTGAATGCTCGAGACTAAACAAAATAATAAAGCATGATCTTTGTCTAGTGGAAGCTTATAACTAAGCAGAAAAGATAGAAAAACATACACAATACCAGAATGCAGTGGTTTTGGCAATAAGCTACTGGTCAGAGAAGACAATAAAGTGAGTAAGAGAATGTACTCTGGAGCCAGAGTACCTTGATATCAATCCTAGCTCTGCCACTTCTCAACTGTGCCTCAATTCTCTCATCTATAAAACGGAGGTAATAATACCTATTTCACAAGGTTGATGTTGGGATTAAATGAATAGATATAACATGGAAGGCATTCAATTAATATTAGGTGTTAATTCTATTTTTATCTGGAGAAGATATGTAACTACACATACAGGCATGCATATACACACACACACAATGATGTCTAGGCTACATCTTAGACTTAACTAAATTAAAATTTCCAGGGATGGAACACAGGCAAGTGGTTTTGAAAAAGCTCCCACTGATGATTTTGATACCTAACCCAGGTAATGGCCACTGATACAAAGTGCCAAGTGAACAAGGGAGAGAGGAAGTGCTAACAAAGCACACAGAGAAAGGAATTCTTAGCAACAGAAAGAGAATGGAGGAGGGTATAGTCAGAGATAGCATGAATGGACTGAACTGTGCACTCCAAAAATATGTGCTGTAATCCTAACCTCTATGCCTGTGGTTATAATCCCATTTGGGAATGGGTTGTTTCTGCTATACTAATGAGGCAGGATTAGTGTCGAATGTGTGTTTAATCAATCTCTCAGAAAATATAAAAAGAGCAGATCAAGAAAACAGAGATGGGAGAAGACAGATGCCATGCCACCTGAAGATGATCAAGGAACCAAAGAAGAAGGACCTTCCCCCAGAGCTGAGAGTGAGAAAAAGCCTTCCTCCAGATCTGGTACCCTGAATTCAGACATTTAGCTCTTAAACAGGAGCTCTGGTAGCGTAGTGCCTAAGGCATTTGACTGCTAACCAGAAGGCTGGCAGTTCAAACCCACCAGCCACTCCTCGGAAGGAAGGTTGGGCACTCTACTTCTGTAGTGATACTGCCTTGGAAACCCGAGGAGGGGTTGCTATGAGTCAGGTTCGACTCGACAGCACGTAACAATAACAACAACAAGAAGCCTCTTAAACTGTGAGAAAATAAATGTCTGTTTCTTAAAGCTACTCATTTGTGATATTTCTATCATAGCAGCACTAGATAACTAAGATAGGACTTCACTGTGAAAGTGACTTCTGACCTCAAAGGTGAAGATGGAAGGAGGAGTCTTCAGGAAGGAAATATAGCTCTTTCAGTTAACACTGAAACCAGACTAACAAAAAGGCCCACAGACCACAGAAGAACCAAATGCAGAAAGCCCAAAGCAGTTCCTGGGCCACTCTGGAGATGGACTGTTAAGATCAAGAGATCCTTCCCATGATTAAAATGGTTCTAAATCTACAAGGGACCCTAGAGTCATCGGAGCCTCTCTAGGAGCCTTCAGTGTAGAAATAAGATGAAATCACGTATCAGTATAATTTCAGAAGTGAATGTCTCAGCTTTAACATGCATCCATATCCTAGAGTGGTATTTAGGAATCCACTTAACAAATTTTATGTAGAAACTGGACTAGTTAACATTTGAGAAAATCCTGTAATCCTGAGATTTCACCTATCATACACCTAGCATGAGTCTATCGTGAATCAGGCCATGCAGTAACTCCACTGCCTTACAGTATGTGCAGGTATACAGAAAGCAAGGGATTTAAAAAGCTTTGAGCAACTTATACTCAGGATGCACTCAATAAACTTTGACAACTATCAGATGAGAAGCACTCATAATTAAGTCTCAACCTTACACAAGGCTGGTATGATCTGAAGTGGAACCTGAATTTGTAACAAAGAAAACTACATTTATCTATGGTCATACTTTCCTCTTTCATTTCTGTGAAGAAAAATAAATTTAATTAGACACATAAAAACTAATATTAAATTAGCTGAGCTCCAGATTTTATGATGGCATAATCCAAACTAACAAGCTATTATGATCCTTAGAGTATCCCAAGTGGGTATATATGGGTGCTTACCACTTCAAAACAAGTAGCAAGCTTTAGCAAAACTTTTGCATAATTATGAAGTCTTCTGATTGGCAAGAAAAACAAAGTATTCAGTATTTCCATCAACTGAGTATTTTCATCATTCACTTCTGATAAACCTTGTAACAGCTCCTGATTTTTATTTAGGAAATCACTGGAGGTAGAGGAAGAAAGAAATTCAGTTAGTCATTTTGGTGTAGATAATATATATATGACATTGAATAGGAAATACTTCACTAGATAGTAACTTTTTCAGAACACATATTTTTAGGTGTTAAGAAAACAGTAAGAAGATAAACACAATGAAAAAAAGTTAAATATCATTTAAAGAATTGCTCTAGATACAAAATGGGATTTTTGAGTATACAAAGTAGGAACTTGTAATAGTGGTAATGCTAACCCTAATTAGAAATGGTTAATTAGAGAGTTGTGCATTACCTTCTTAGGAAATGAATCATGCATCTGAGTTTCAGGGGAGACCAGCTGACAACAATACTTGTTAATTTCACAGCCCAAAGTCATAGCAATAAATGGCAAAACTAATTGGTCTAATCAGTTATCCTAAACGAAAAACAAAACTCCTTGCTCCAACAGCAACAGGTATGGAATATTTAAATACTCGTAATTTTCTCTCTTTTCCTTCAATTGTTGATCACCTAGTAAGAATTTACTACAGGAAAGTAATAAAAAGCTGTAAGAACCAGTATTATAATGAACAGGAAACAGTAAAGCAAATTGCATGTGAAGATTTCAATGCTGAGCTCTTCAAAAGTATTTCAAAACTAAAGCTGACGTTTAGTTTTTATATGTTCTTTAAGGTTTTACTACAAACTTTAATGCTGATTAGTAACCCAATGAGACTATGCTCATCAGACTTAAATATACCTAAAATACTTAGAGGGTTTGTAGAGTTGGTGGGACAGAATAGTAATAATCATCTGCCAGTTACTGAGCAACTCCTACATGCTAAGTACTACTCTGAGAGCTTTACAAAATTACACTACAATTCTTACCTACAAGGCCTTAAACAAGACACAATTTCACAACTGTGAAAGGCAAGAATGTGTTACTTTATAATCCCTTAGAGAACCACAGAGTAAAGAGATGTTTAACTCAGAAATTTGAACTGTTACCTTGGAAGGATGGAATTAAAACACGTAGTACTTCCAGGAACCCAAACGTTCAATAGCACAAATCTGATTGTTTCACAATGTCCCAGATTTTTATGTGTATTTGACTTGTCCTTCTGAGTGGACCTGGTGGTGTAGTGGTTAAGGCATTCAGGTGTTAAACAAACGGTTGGTGGTCCAAGCCCACCAGCTGTTCCGTGGGAGAAAAATGGGACAGTCTGCTTCTGTAAAGATTTACAGCCTTGGAAATCCTACGGAGGCAGTTCTATTCTGCCCTATAGGGTCATTATGAGTTGGAATCAATTCCATGGAAGTAGATTTGGTTTGGTTTATGTCCTGATATTCCTACTTCTCGCTCCTCATTCCACTGCTGAGATCGGCTGAGGATACTCATTTAATCCTACAGAAGTGTTCTGCTGTGACTTGCTCCTGAGAAATGACAGAGGTAAGACAAGGTGAATACATATTGCCTCTGATCTTATTTCTCCTGGATGTTCTGGGATGTGTACCCAGTCCACACTGTACCAGAACTGTTCTGGTTTTTGTGAACCCCACCATTTTCCCCATGTCTTTGCCTATGTCTGTCCTCAAAAGAGGCCTTGGTATACTCTCAGGAAGTCTGAAACCAGAGTCTGTTCAGCCTATCTTCTCTTGGGCAATTTTTATCTACTAGTGACATCTTTCCTTACATGGCTAGGTTTGTGTTTGTTACTCTGATTTTAAAACAAAAATATTGTTTAGAGACTCCATACTTGTTGTCTAAAGTACAAAGGAAAGTAAGAAAATTATTAGCACAAAAGTCAGATTATTTGATAATCTGTGAGCAGTGTTTGGGGGAAGAGATCATGATTGGGGGTATCTAGGGTACTGACAATATTCTACTTATTAATTTAAATCATGGATACAAGGTTGAGCACATTAATTTTATTATACTTTAAATGACAATTATTTGTTTTACATTCTTTTATATGTATGACATATTGTATAGCAATTTTAAAAATCTGAAAATAAGGATGCTTAAAATGATAAAAAGATATTTTAAAAGGTATACAAAAGATTAAAAAAAAAAGAATAAGCATATTTAGAATTTTTCAGAATTGATCAAAGACATAAATCTTCCAAGAGCAAGAATGAAAAATAGAGTATCACTCTAGTTACAGTAGGAGCTCTGGTGGCCTACTGCCTAAGGCATTTGACTGCTAACCATAAGGCTGGTGGTTCAAACCCATCAGCCACTCCTTGGAAGGAAGACTGGGCAATCTACTTCTGTAGTGGTACCACCTCGGAAACCCAAGGAGGGGTCGCTATGAATTGGATCTTACCTGACAGCAGTGAGTTTCGTTTTTTTAATAGTTACAATAGAAGTGAAAACATCTTAAGACAATGCCAAGAGTATTATGCCAATAAAATTGAAAATGAGGATGCAACGAACAATTTTCCAGACTATAAATAACTAAAACCATAAAAAGAAAGGCGCTCTGGTGATGCAGTGCCTAAGGCATTTGACTGCTAACCAGAAGGCTGGCAGTTCAAACCCACCAGCCACTCCTTGGAAAGAAAGTTGGGCAATCTACTTCCATAGTGATACCGGCTCAGAAAGTGAAGGAGGGGTTGCTATGATAGACTTATTCATTAAAGAAACTAAATCAGAAGTTTAAAACTACCGACAGGAATTGCCCCATAAAGGCCATTCATTTTTATAAAGGATACTTCCAAATCTTCAAAGTGCAGGTAATCCCTATCTCATATAAACTACTGCAGAAAACAAAAAGGAGGGGAAGCTCCCCAACTAAAGTAGATTGCCTAAGCCTCCTTCTGAGGAGTGGCTGGTGGGTTTGAAGCACCAGCCTTCTAGTTAGCAGTCAAATGCCTTAGGTACTATGCCACCAAAGCTCCCTAGTGAAATCTAATAAGCAAAACTGGGCAAGTTCAAAAAGAAGGAAAATCTCACTCATATAGATATAATAACCTTAAATATTATCAAACTAAAACCAGCAATGTATTAAAAAATACCTGATTATCAAATAAATTGATCTTAGGAACTCAAGAATATTTGACATTTTAAAAAATCAATTCCTATTTAATTTTTAGGAATAGAAGAAAGCTTTTCAACATGTAAATGAAATCTACCAAAAACTTAAAATAATTGTTCTTAATGGTGAAACAGTAAAAGTACTCCCTTTGAAATAAGCAATGAGATAAGGATGTTATTACCCCTTCTATTAGGGTGTAAGATCAAAGGCAAACATGGCATAACATTCACGTCTGTGAAATCTGGGCTGCTGTGTGCCGTCAAGAAGATGCCAACTCACACTGACCCTGTATGACAGAGTGCCCCACAGAGTGCACACCTTTCCAGTATAAGTCTTTACAGGAGCAGATCGCCAGGTCTTCTCTCTTGTGGAGCTGCTGGTGGGTTCATACTGCCAACCTTTCAGTTAGCACCCAAGCACTTAACCATTGCACTACCAGGAAATATTTCATTAATAAAGTATACCTGAATTTCTTTACATTTGACTTGGTTGTAAGATCAACACTTGAGAAACTAGGCTGTTCAGCATTATTGGCCTCATTTAGGGGACTTTTATACTTATTATTTATGCAGAAGCTAAATATAAATACAAAATATTTGTGAAAAACTTTGCACTTTCCTGTGTACCGTAACATACATTATCTGTTCCTCAAAGCAGAAGAGAGAGCATTCTCATTTTTCAGATGGAAAATAGTAGGGTAGTGAGGTGAGGAGATTTCCCCAAAATCTCAGCGGTAGTAAGTAGCAGCATTAAAGAAGGACCCAGCTCTTATGTCTTTTAGTTCAGTGCCTTCTCAATACTGTCCTACTTCTAATGATAATCAGGGACTAGTAGTAGCACCTCGTCCTTTGTAAGAGACAGTGAAAATCTACATTTTGACTCAGTTGGTAAAGTGACCAAGACAAAGCCCTCCCTGGGCACTGAGAAACAGAACACTATAAAACAGGATCTCAGGTTGTTAGAATGATAACCAGAAGGTATGTATTTGCTTACATGGCAGGCTTAGCAAGAAGCTGGAATCCTCCCATAACCAGGAAATTTGTAATAGATGTGCAATACCTTGAGCAAAAAGAAAACACAAGTATGTTAGTGTTAAAACATAAATTAGTTCTTGAGAGTTTTCGAACAAGTACCTGGAACAGATACTTCCTGGTATATCACCAATGAAGAGTTTCAGAACTTTTGTGATGTCAATATTCATGAGCTGCAAAGGTCTGAAGAGAAAGGCAGGTCATGTGATAACATAATAACCAGGGGAGGAAATGACATTTTAGTAATGATATTAAAATAGAAAATTTTAAAAGACCTAAAGCTATGCTGGAATTTACTTTGTAGATTTTACTTAACAAACTTGAGAACGTATGATTGAACTCATTGGATTTTTTTAATGTAAAATTTCTTGATCTCCATTTCAGGTTTCCCAATTAACTCTTCAGAAATGAACAGTAGAGATGGTAAGAAAACATGTTACAATGAGCTTGAATGAGACAGCATTAGAAAATTTTGATTGAGTACTGATACACTGCTAGAAAATAAGTGTTGATATATTGCTTTGAGCCATCTACATTTCTTCCATGCTCCTGGACTAACAAATGGAATTGAGACAGAAAGTAGGTTTTACAACTAGAAGGGGGATTCCAATTAACCTTAGTCTACGGTACCAAAATAAGAGTATTTCAAGCATAAAGCCTGAAGTTTCACGAGAAGAAAAAGAAGTGAAGAAGAGAGATTGAGATAAATAAGACAAAAAAGGAAAATTATACCTTAATTAAAAGCTTAAATTTTCATGCAACAAAATAAAATCAAGTTTAAAAAAAAGTTAAGATGAAATTATCTTACTTTTATTTTTCATGTCTAAAAAAGGATGGATTTAAAGACTCAAACCAGGTTATTTTCTTTCAGTCAGTGAATTTAAATATATTTGATTTTTCTGGGAACTAAAATCACATATACATACACATACAAATATGTATAAGTCTGAAAGACAATACACGAAAATGCTCAACAATGGTTATTTCTGGTGGTTGGATTATGGGAAAGTTTAAATACCTTTTGATTACCTGTATTTTATAGCTTTAAAAATAAATATACATTGTTGCTGTTGTGAGTGGCCGCCAAGCCTACTCCTACCCGTGGTGACCTCATGTGTCAGAGCAGAACTGTGCTCCATGGGTTCGTAAGGTTGTGACCTTTTAGAAGCAGGTTGCCAGGCCTGTTTTCCAAGGTGCCCCGGTGGTTTTAAACCTTTCAGCTAGCAGGCGAGTGCTTAACTATTTGTGTCACCCGGGGAGCCAAACATACATCACTTCTATTATAAATAACAGAAAGGAAATACCAACAGAACATGAAATCCCCAAGGGCAAGTATTTTCATTGGCTCCACGCTGACTGCAGAGCTTTGCATGATGCCTGGCACTTAGTGGTCCCTCAGCCAATATTTGTTTGACAGATGAGGTATGAGTAATAAAGAGTAAAACTTATACTTCAGATCAAAGCATGTCCTAATATAAATTAAAGTAACATTTAAATTATGACTGGCGTCAAAATGTCAAAATACAAATTAAGAAAAAGTGAAGAATGTTTCAAGTTAAGTTTTCAAATATACTTGGGATTTTTCACTTGAAAAAAACAGGGGGAAAAAACTTGAATAACTGTCTCAAGTTTTACTAAGAAAATGTCTTTATTTTTAAAGTAGTCTGATCTTTATACCCTTCATTTACACAACAGTAAATAACAGACATCAGAACAGCTCCAAATTTATAACCATCAGTTGGTCTTAATTTGTTTAGTTACTATTTCCTCAAATTTGAGTATAATTTACTTAACAAAACAAAACTGTTCTCTAAAGGACAGATTTATTATAGTACATTTTATGTGAAATAAGCAACTAATACCAATCATTCTGCTAGAATATAGAAGAAAATATAAAATTTCATTATTTCTAAACCTTTTCTATGTTCCCTTAGAAGAAACTAAATTTTAACAATGCAAAACAACAGCTGGTTTAAGATTAAAACACTGCTTTGCAATTTCTATTACCTTATATTAATCTCCCTAATCTAGTCTCTTCTGATTAAGGAGCTGTTCTCCTTGGCAGAATAACCCTGTAGAGACTGAACATGACACGGGACTGGATACTTGCTCTGTATAACTATCCAAGAAGAGACTTGCATGCTTCAGAATGACCAAACTCCTGGCTTCCTTTATCCCATGAAGGAAGCTGCTCAGTGAGGTTCCATGCTGACCAATTAGGTAGCAGAGCTTGCTGAACCGACTTGCCACCTCCTGCAACAGCTGGACTGTAGCTGCAGTGCCCAAATTTTCTGTAACAAAATAATGATGGTGATAATGAGGATGATGGTGACTTAAAGGATTTATAGTACATCAGACTATTGATTATTTGAGTAATTTCTTATCATCAAGATGATAAATTCCCCTTTTCTATAAACACTTTATACGTTGAGATGTCATTTCAACTTGTGTGCTGTTGAGTTGACTCTGACTCACAGTGACTCTATACGACAGCAGAACTGCCCCACAAGATGCCCATGTTTGTAATCTTTACAAGAGCACACTGTCAGGTCTTTTCTCCATGGACCAGCTGGTGGGTTTGAATCACCAACCTTTTGGTTAGCAGCTGAGTACTTAATCACTGAGCCACCAGGCTCTTTGTAATCTCAACTATGGAACACAAATAATTACAGTGTTAAGGAAAATAACTCCAGAAATCACAGGGTCCAAGGTCTGAGGAGCTTGTTAAAGACATATTCAAGGGTCCCTAAAAATTCTGATTCAGTAGGTCTGGGTTAAGATCCCAGGATGGATATTTTAAAAAGGAAATAAAAAGCTTTCCAGGTGATTTTGATGATTAACCAAATTTGAAGATCATGGAGCTAATCTAATCCTCCTCTCATTTAAAGATAAAGTAATCTGAAACCAACAAAAGGGAAGTGAATTATAGGCACACCTTGGAGTGTGGCTTAGGTTCCAATCCACAATCTGGAATTCAATTCCAGATTTTACAATATAGCAAAATTGCAAGTCACACGAATTTTTTGGTTTCCTGCTGCATATAAAAGTTACATACCGTAGCCTATTAAGTGTGCACTAGTATTATGAAAAAGTTTGAAATATTGTGAGAATTACCAAAATGTAACAGAGACACAAAGTTAGCAAATATCGTCGGAAAAATGGTGCCAACAGACTTCCTTGACACAGGGTTGCCACACACCTTCCATGTGTGAAAAATGCAATTACTGCAAAGCTCCATAAAACAAGGTATGCCTGTATCTAATTTCACACAACAGGAGAGTGATAACCAGGAATTAAATTCACTTCTGTACTTACATCTTGGTTAACACTTCCAACTGTGTGTACTGGCTTCTGCCCTTCTAACCCTTCAGTGTGTATAGAAGGCATCCAACAATCCGACTGCCTAGGCTGCTCTGAACCTGTGTGGAGGGCTTCAGGAGAGCATTTGCTATTCCTGAATCCAAAGGTCCTGATTTTTAGGACTTCTTTCTAAGCAGTGAGGCTAATGAGTAGACCACGTAAGACCAACACAGAATCAGGAACCAGAAGAGGTAAAGGCAGATCTCATTTCATTTCAGAGTAATTCAAGAACTGCACAGCTTAGAGAAATCTTTTTTCAGTCTTCATCTTTAAGTCTTTTTCTTGCCAAAGTCCTGAGATGTTGGATCCACCCAAAGAAGGGGAATTTACAGAACAAAGAATTATAACAATTTAAAAGGCAAAATACATTTAAAAGCGAAAACAAAAACTAATGCAAACAGTCACCAACTTACAAAGGGACTGAATTCAGAAAGTTAAGTTAGTTGTTTAAAAAGTACATGCTCCTCCATTAGAAATACCACACAAGCCAGTGTCATCCTAAGGTGGTAAAACAGTTGTACTAACAGGGCAGATTTAAGTACTAGAGAATTAGGCTGAATTCTGGGTCCTCAAAACGGCAGTCCAAGGAATGTAGGTGAGAAAAAGAGAAAGCAAGCTTCCTCTCCCTTTACTAAGTACAGGGCCAAACTCAGGAGAAATTTTGATATAGGGGAAATTTGTCTTCAATAGCCTCCTCATTCTGCATTCCTTTCTAAGCTCTAAGACAACTTCTCCCCAGATACTTCTCCTCACATACAGTAAACCTGGACAGCAGCATCCCATCTAGGACTACTGTACTCCACGTCCTCTGTACTACTTCCTTACCTCCCATCCCTCTTTGTAGCTGATTTCAGCTAAGAAAGGGAAAATTAAATTCAATCAATTCATACTAATGGAGGCTAAGACAATTAATACTCCCATGGATACCCACAATTTCAAGAGACTATTTGTGAGTTCAAATAAATCTCTACTTAACTAAAATTTAAAGAACTCTTACAAAGAAAATGAAAAGTCAGGTACTATCATGGAAAATATCTTCGGATGAGTGAGTCTATACATGCTGTTTGGAACTCTAACTTCAAGGCTCAACTCTCCTAAAGCTGTTATTGCTTCTCTACTGTGAATTTTTAAAAGCCCCAGTTTCTACCTCCACAAGGACTCCCCTGACAGTAGAAGCAGCTCTAGGTATGATAGAATAAAGCAGGGGCAGCTGGGTCATGACAAACAGGAAACTGTAAAATGCTATCTGCCTGTGTACAAAAGACAATAGGGGAAAAAAATGAGTAATCCATAACTCAAATATATAGATAAAAAAAGAGAACAGATAAAACAACAGCCCTGTGATTTGGGAGCAAATGGGGGGGTAGGGAGTGTTCTACTTACCTAAACTGAGAAGAGGCCTGAGAATCTGAGATTTGATGTCACTCAGTTTTGAATAGAACCGTCTTTCTGTAGTAGCCAACTCATGGAGACTAGCAATATACCCCATAATGTTTCGGTCCACCAAAGTTAGAAAGTTATCTTTTCCTGCTGTCACTTTGCTTACGTACCCAAGCTGAAACGGAAGAGAAGAGAAAGATTAAAGATAAAATATATTTCACTAATAGCAATTTGGTGCCTTGAAGCAAACTCATACCAGCTAGTGAGGGCCAATCATTAAATATTCAGGACATCTGCAAGCTGGTTATTAAACTACACGTAACTGGAAATCAGCCACGGTAAAAGTGTCAAAAACTTGGCAAACACTTTTTTTTTTTTTAAGCTGGCTTACCAGTACACCACTGTTCCATATGTATACATAGATCTAAAATACAGCATAAAGGTGATTTTCTTTAAAAGTGACTTTTTGTCCCTTACCAGTGGTACTACTGAACAAAATTGTTCAGTTGAAATCAACTTGATGGCAGTGAGTGAGTGTGAGTGTATCTTCACTTATCTTTATGAAAGCAGGTAGCCAAGCTGCAGACCTAAAAGACTATTAGCATCCCATGGTAACCAAAGATACAAATTAGAGCCTTGTCCCTTCCATCAGGCTATTTCATCCTTTATCTGGATTGTGGACTCGTTCATGGGGAATGTGGACCTAAGGTCAACAACAACGGTCAATAAGCAGGCCTGGAATAACCAGCTAGAATTTGGCCATTGCTGCCATTAGTAAGAAAGATCTTGTTCCTATACATGCACAGCTTACAGTCATAGCCAGAAAATACAAACAAAAAGAATAAAAACAAATCATAGGGTTCATCATTCAATAAGAATAAAAATTCAGAATATATTAGCTTTGAGAGTAATTTCCTTCTGTCATGTCACTCTGTAGACGTGAATTACTTCAATGGCAAAAATAAAACCAGACATGGGCCTATGGTATAAGTTCATGAAAGACAGACAGAAAGTAGGAAAGTTGAAAGTCAGATCTACACATAAAAAGGAAGGGGATAAACAACAGTAAATAAAAGGCTGAGAGCAGGGAGGAAGCAGTGGGAGAGAGAGTAATGTCAGTAGACTTTCAGGTCTGCCACTAGCCCATCCCATGGCCTGAATTTTTACTCTCCACTTATACTTGGTAATACTTATGCATACACATAAATAATTACAAAAGTGGACTTTCCATGTGTGACAGAATGTGGGCTTTGGGATCCAATTTTCTGTTCACCTTACTACAGGAGAGAAGCACTGGAGTCTTAGTACCACTGTGATTCTCTGGAAGGCTATCACCTTCTGCAGGGTCCTGCCGACCACTGTAATATAATCCAGGTTGGAAATCTTCTGTATCCACCAAAAACAGGGAATAATCCTGGCCTGCAGCTACACTCCAGACTCCATTTTCACCATTTATCTGCAACGACAGCAAGATACTCTCTGTGCAAGATGAAGGCAATCAGGCAAAACTTTAGATCCATAAGAACTGAAATGCTAGGTTCCTTCAACAGGCATGATGCAAAGTCAGTCATATCCCAGAGGGCAGAACTCACCCAGGAACATGCCCAATGAAATGCAGAAGAGATGAAGGAGAAAGCAGGAATCCTTTACTCAACTTTTAAATTTAGAATTGGATTGTTTTTATAAAAATCTGAAAAACTGGAATTTAAAAAGAAAAAAACCACAAATCTGATTTGTTTGCTATAATCAATGGTCCCAGAAACTTCTAGAATACTATCTGGCAAGTAACACACACCTCGGCTGCCTTTGTCCACCCACATTTAGTTATGTGCACAAAATCAAGATAAAAATAAAACAATGCAATAAAGCTAAATTCCCCTCCAGTCACACTAAACCCTTGGGAGCTAAAATTTAGTCTTCCCATTTGGAACTCACTACCTCTCTAGTGTAACTTGACTGTGCAGACTCCCAGGATCTTGACACTGGCAGTACCCCTGTGATGGTTAATATTATGTGTCAACATGGCTAGGCTATCATTTTCAATGGTTTGGCAGACATTGACTGACTGTAATCAATTTTACAATGTAATCACTTCCATGAAGAGATCTGACAGGAGCAGTCAATAAGTTGACAGGGGAGTTTCCTTAAAGGTGTAGCCTGCGTCTAGTATATAAATGGATCTTCCAGCAAGGCTCTTTCTCTCTTGGGATTTTGCATCCAGCTGAGCTTCATCTGACTTCTAGTTTTGGGGCTGGGAGCCGACAGCCTGCTGTCTGACCTGCTGATGTTGACTTCATCAGTCCCTGCAACCACATGAGTCAGGAGAAGGCTCCAACCTGATGTCTGACCCATGGATTTGGGACTTACCAGATTCTACAACTGTGTGAGCCATTTCCTTCAATTAAATCTCTCTATATATATTTATACATACATATTTCACTGGTTTTGCTCCTCTAGAGAACCCAGCCTAAGACAACCCCTAAGAAACTTAGCTACATAGATACCCTAGATCATCAAAACACACAGACGTTATAAATATACAATTTCCTCAATTTTTTAAGTAAGTTATGGACAGATACAAAGGGTTACATTTTAGAATTCTGTAATAAGCTGCTGTGAAAGTTATCAAGTTCACAAAAGTACCTTTGCAAGACGAGGAACTGTTGTTGGAAAATCGGAATGTCCAAGCTGACCAAATGTATTGCTACCCCATGAGTAAACCTATCAGAAAACCATAAGACAGTAGGTAAGAACTTTGAATCTGATTTTTTATTTCATTCTGTACTTATTATAATAACTTTTACATACATATATATATATATACGCTATTAAATATATATTTAGTATTTGTGTGTGTGTGTATATAGCCACTCCTCAGAAGGAAGATTGGGCAATCTACTTCCGTTGTGATACTGCCTTGGAAACCCAAGGAGGGGTCGCTATGAGTCGGGTCCAACTTAACGGCACATAACAACAACAACAACGTATATAAATGTATGTGTAAACATATCTATATATATCTACAGTTACAGATAAATTAGTTATACTATTCTTCCTACTCTTTAAAATGGCAAATATTAAGAAAATTCATTTTTAAATTAAGACCAGAGGTAATGAATAGGTAGAGTGCCTAGGAGCTCTGGTAGCATAGTGCCTAAGGCACTTGACTGCTAACCAGAAGGCTGGAGGT